AAATATTAGCATAATTTAAATTCTTGCTTTTCGAATTATTCTTTTTTCTGCAAATATAAAGAGATTTTGGGACCGATTAGGCTTGATGAGTATAATATACCCCTAACTCGATCAGTCTGTAAGCAAACCAGTATCATTTTCCATATCATGAAACAAGCTCATTGGGCAGAAGGCTCATTACTGGATGGAATCCAGAAGTTTCAGGGTATGTTTGGGGGCGGAGCTCCATACATGAGAAAATACTCCAAAGAAACTTTATAAAGCTTCAAAAGTTGCTGAGGTGTGTACAGTTTTCTGATTCGCAACAGTGTTTCAAGATTTTGAAAAGCAGCCCTTGCAATTCTAGCGACATGATTCCACCAAGGCATGTTGGTGTCCATTTCTACAACAAATTCTACAACTCACTGTTATACAATTGTATGCAACTTTCAAGAGAAGAGTTAGGAATCATTCTGAAAAAAATACTTTCTGAAAAACACTTCCTGAATACCAACAGGAACTTGAGTGCCGTGTCCTGAATCTAGATACCTAGGATATAAATTATTATTATGTGATGCGTTTTTTCCATCGTGTCTTTCTCTCTATTTATCATTTTAGTTGATTAGAATTGTACATTTTAGGTTAAGTGTAAGAGTAGCCTTTGGCTAAACTGCGCCTATTTTGTATCTTCACCAATAAAGACGATTTTATTATTGTTATTATTATTTCAACTCCCAACAAACTTATCGAAGCAGAAGGAGAAATTGTCTGACCTGACATTATCATAACTGATTCGGAAACATATATCTTTTTGAATTAAACCGATGCCTGGGTTTTTATGTCATTGTATTGAATTTGGGTAATTTCACCCTAATTCGAAATTACTTGTAGATCCCCATTGAGATATTCAACCTCCTGCTGCCGGTGAAGATATGCATCCGCAGCCAATGTCCTGGAATCCAACTGTAATGAAGTGTGCTGTTGTCAGCAAAACGCCATAGCATCTAAGTTTGCCCAGCAAACCCTCATGCCACATACGATCAAAAGCCTTAGAAATATCAAGCGCAACAGCTCTTGAATCTCCATGTTTCTCTTTTGCGTTACTCCAAATATGGGTGACATACGATAGAAGGTCGCCTGTTGATCTCTGTTTCTGAAAGCCATATTGATGATCGCTCAAGATGTTGAAGCTTTCGAGGATATGGTGGTTTACGGCTTCCTCCATAATTTTTGATATAACTATTAGCAAAGCGACTGATCTATAGATATTTTCAGAGGTGACAGCTTGCCTGCAATGTTTTTCGAACCAAGATTGTGGTTTTATTTCAGACTCTTACCCATTCACTAGTTACAACTCCATGTATCGAGATTTCATTTCGAAATATCTATTTTCTTATCCTTTGATACAGTATTCAGACACATTCTGATTTCTGGTAAACTATTATAACCTCTAAAATTCAGGCCCCCCCATTTTCCTAACCTAAGAGAAAAAGTCAAAGTAACTCACGATAGTCTTCCAACGGTTTTGATGGTTTATTACAGGGTGTTCCTTGAACACATGCTGATATTTAAGGAGGTGATTCTTAGACCCATTTTAAGGAAAAAACGTCCTATGGACGTATGTCCTAAACGCCTTAACTTTTGAGATACAGGGTGGCAAAGTTTTCAAAAATAATCAGTTTTTTAATAATAACTGAGATAATTTTGTAGACATCTTTGGCATATTTGGTACATATGTTCCATGCCTCAAGGCG